AACCCCCCAAAAACCCGTGGATATGGTCCATCCCCAAACCCCGGACTAGGATCCCCCCCTCCAAAACCATGGACTGGGCAAAATTTCCCAAGGGAACGTAAACCCCCCCAAAAAACCGTGGACTGGGTCCACCCTCCAAAAAAAAACCAGGGCAAGGGCCATCCCCCAAACACAGTGGACTGGTCCCATCCAAAACCGCGGGCTAGGGTACCCTCCAAAACCAGTGCCAGGGTCCATCCTCCAACCCATGGACTTTGGTCCACCTCCAACCCCCCGGGGCAGTTCCACCCCCTAAAAACCCGGGACTAGGAATCCACCCCCCAAAAAAGGGACTAGGGTCCCCCTCCAACACAGTGGCTAGGTCCACCCTTTTAATACCATGGACTGGATCCACCCCCAACACCAGTGGGCTGGATCCAACCTCCAACACCAGTGGGGAGGGGCCCCCCCTCCAAAAAAAGTGGACTAGGGATCCACCCTGCAACACCAGTGGACAGGGTCCACCCCCAAAACCCGTGTACTAGGTCCACCCTCCAACACCAGTGGACTAGGGGGCCACCCCCCCAAAACCGTGGATAGGGCCCACCCCCAAAAAAAATGGGCAGGGTTCCCTGCAACAACCCGTGGGCTAGGTAACCTCCAAAAACTGGGCTAGGGGCCCCCCTCAACTTGGGACTAGGGCCACCCTCCAAATAAAAGGGACTAGGACCACCCTCCAAAACCCGTGGGCGGACCACAATCCAAAACCCGTGGACTGGTCCCCCTACAAACCCAGTTTCCTGGGTCCACCCCCCCAACACCAGTGGTTAGGATCACCCCCCAAACCCCCGTTGGCTAGGATCCACCCTCCAAAACCAGTGGGCTAGATCCACCCCCCCCAACCCAGTTGCTAGGATCCCCCCCACCACCAGTGGCTAGGAAAAACCCCCCTCCCCAAACCCCGTGGGCCCAGGGTCCCCCCTCCAACAAAGGGGGCAGGTCCCCCCTCCAAATAAGGGGACTGGTCCCTTCCAAAACCCGTGGCCTAGGGTCCATCCTCCAACACCAGTGGACTAGGGTCCACCCTCCAACACCCTGGACTAGGGTCCACCCTCCAAACCATGGACTAGGGGCCCTCGCCTACACCACTAGACTAAAATTTTACCCTCATAAACCATGGGTAGGGCCATCTCCAAAACCATTCCTAATTTTATAAAATTCTAGCTCCATTCCTAGTTTTTTAACTATAGGTAATTCCTAGTTTTTCCCACATAAGAAAGGAGGACCTGCAGCAGGATGTTGGGGCCCATCTCGGCAGGTCCTTTACAATTCATCCCACTAACAAAAATTTTCCCAACCCAAACCTCAATCTACCCAAGAAATAAGCCTTGAAACCTATCCACTCATTTGCCCCAAATCCCCCCTCAAAACCCCCCCCTCTCACCCATATATTTTTCCCAACCAAATTTGAAATACCCAATGTCCTAGCCTCAATAACCCAACGGTAGACTGTTCCCCTCATCAACTACCCTATTTCCAAAACCCAATACTTTCCTTTTCCTTTTAAATCTAAAAAATTTTCTAATTTAAAATCCAAATTTCGCAGGTTTTTTCTTGGAGGATATCCCACGACCTTTTTTTTTATCCCTTTTTTTTACCCATCTTTCCACTTATACACTTCGACAGTTCCCCCAAACCCTTTTCTAACAAGCGAACGTAATTTAAGGGTCTTCAACTTTTTTTTAAGGGGAAAAATCTAAGCTATGTATTAATTTATCATTCTAGCTGAAAGTTTTGCAACGAATTTTTTGTCCTTCTGTAATATGAACCGAACTGAGCTGATAATTAGCTGATTTTATTATATTTTAATCAAAAAGAAGCGCAAGCCACAAGGGCTATACGGTTAATCAACTGAGGCCTTCCCAATGAAGTATAAAACTGCAGTTAACCCCTGGACTTCTGTTGCTTACACTTCTTGATATAAATCCTAATAATCTATTTGCCTTATTACGTACGCTTAGGCATTGCTGTCTCGGTTTAAGGTTGCTGCTTACCATAAACCCCAAATCCTTTTTGCATTCTATACTGCTAAGTTCAACATTATTAAGCTGGTAGGTGCTAGGGTTATGAACATTTCCGAGCTTTAGAACTTTACATTTATCTACATTGAACTGCATCTGCCACTTTTCTGACCACGAATTGAGTTTGTCTAAATCCTCCTGAAGTTGCGAGACATCAACGTCTGAATCGATTATCCTACCTATCTTCGTGTCATCAGCAAATTTGCTCATGTCACTAGTAATTCCCTCGTCAAGGTCGTTTATATATATTATAAACAACAATGGGCCTAAAACTGATCCCTGCAGAACGCCACTTGTTACAGATCCCCACTCAGATTTAACCCCATTGATGCACACTCTGCTTCCTATTGGTGAGCCATGACTCGATCCATGACAGCATTTTTCCCCCAATGCCATGGGCAGCCACTTTTTTCAACAGTCTTTGATGTACTCTATCAAACAGTCTTACTAATTTCTAAAATAAACAAATATCGAATTTGATCCTGAATCAACAGCTTTCAAACTTTGCTGAGATGTAATAAATTAGTTAGGCAGGAATGGCCCCTGTGAAAACCATGTTGGTATCATTAATCAAATTATGCCTACAGATGGCGTCTTATATTATCGGCTAAATTGACTCTTATAATTTACCTACAATTGAGGTTAGGCTTATTGGGTGTAATTTGACGGTATACGACTTGGTCCCTGCTTTAAAAAATAGGTATTACATTACATTTCCACATATCAGGCATACACCTGTTGAAGATATAAATTAAAGTATTTTAGTTAAGGTTCACAGAGTTCCATATTTACACAAGAACCTTGGAAAAAAAGTTCTAGAGCCCGGGATTTATTTTGCTTTAATCGGTCATCTGTTTGATAACCCATTTCGCTGGTGATTGATTGCATAATTTAACATACTACAGAATTTGTATAGTTCCAAATAAGACAAAGTTCATTCCAGTTTACAATGACGGGTTCACTTCTAGTTACAAAACTAGAGATAGTTCATCGTCTCACAATACACCAAGTTTCACCACATTACAAAACTAGCAGCTAGGCTCACTGCTAATTTCACTAACAGACTAGGTTCCCACTATTTTAAAATAGATAGGTTCATTCCTAGTTTTACAATGACTATGTCATCCTGGTTTCAAAACTTTAGAACTAAGGTTTATTATAGTTTCAAAGAACATATTAATTTCTTTTATCATAGATCAGTATTTGCAATTTAAATTAAAAAAAAATAAATAAAAAATCTACCACGAATAAAATATGATCATTGCAAGTTCGGATAATTAACATTTGATTTATCAAAGTCAATAACCCTCCAGAAAATTCCCACAAGTCTTTTCAGCAGCCCAGTATTTGTAACAACAATGATTGATTACAACTTTTGTTTCACAACTTACAAAGTGCACTCAATGATTCACAATATCTTTATGACAAACTGGATCCCTCTGTCTTTACATTATACTGCATTCCTGCTTTTCCAGCATTCCTTTTACAAAAACATACAAATATTTTTGTATTCCACACATCTTGCACTGCAGCTTAGCATTGCAAAAATTTAAAATGTGTGTTAAATTCCAGCCCATAAAATGAACTCCACGAAAAATTATCCTTTAGATGTACGTTTATACAATTAGGCAATTCTTCGCCTCCGTTTAGACAAGGTATCGAGCCTCACACTTCCCACATTAAATATTTAACACAAATGATATAATAATTAGGATTACAATAAAGTTACAAATGTACGATTTGGAACAGGAAGTAAAGTACTAAAAATAAGAGATCAGCGAGTTCAATTGCTCATCATTGCATATAAAAAGAATACTAGTTTTGGTAGCTCATGGCACATGTACTTCGAATTACTTCTAAAATTCTGTATTGAGTTTAAAAACTTACTGGAGTTACCCTGTACAAGTTGCTGTGAAATGATGTGGACACACAAACCTAAGTTAAACCAGAGAACAATCTGTATATAAACAATCTAAGTGGAAAAAAAAAAAAAAAAAAACAAGCGATTGTTGCGATCGAAGTGTTGCAGATTGTTGGTGATTGTGGCAGTGTGGTTTTAAGTGCATAATACAAAGCAACGTAAATATTGAAAAAAGAATGGAAAAACATTAACTGCATTAATACCAATGCAAGTAAATAAAAAATTTAAAAACATATAAAACATTAGGTAAACATAGTTAAATAAATTAATAAAAACATTAGTATAAAAAGAAGATATAAACATTGAGAAAAAAATATGTAAAACATTAGGATATTAAACGTAAGACATAAAACATTAAAATATAAAACAGTATAAAACATTGTAAAGATAAAAAAAAAAAAAAAATATAAACATTAAGAATGAAATATGAAACATTAGGAATATAAATATAAAAATAAAACATTATAAATATAAAACAAAATACATGAAACATTAGAAAATATATAAAACAGAAAATATAAACATTAGAATGCATAAAACATTGGGTATAAAACATTAAAATATAAAACATTAGATGTAAAACATTATTAGATATAAAACATTAGAAGATATAAAACATTAAAGATATAAAACATTAGATATAAAACATTAAAGGTATAAAACATTAGATATAAAACATTAGAAGATATAAAATATTAGATATAAAACATTAGAAGGTATAAAACATTAGATATAAAACATTAGAAGGTATAAAACATTAGATATAAAACATTAAAGATATAAAACATTAGATATAAAACATTAAAGGTATAAAACATTAGATATAAAACATTAAAGGTATAAAACATTAGATATAAAACATTAGAAGATATAAAATATTAGATATAAAACATTAGAAGGTATAAAACATTAGAAGATATAAAACATTAGAAGATATAAAATATTAGAAGATATAAAACATTAGATATAAAACATTAGAAGATATAAAACAGATATAAAACATTAGATATAAAACATTAGAAGGTATAAAACATTAGAAGGTATAAAACATTAGAAGGTATAAAACATTAGAAGATATAAAACAATTGGCAGTATAAAATGGTTTAAAACAATATGGTTGGCAGTTTAAATAAATGCAAGATCCAGTTTCATACATTAAGCAGGACAGTACTACCTAGGGTGACAGTAGCCTCAGGCTGATAGTACCCCAGTGCTACCCAGGCTGATATTGCCCCAGTGCTACCCAGGCTGAGTGCCCAAGTGCTACCCAGGCTGATAATAGCCCAAGTGCTACCCAGGCTGATAATAGCCCAAGTGCTACTCAGGCTGATAGTGCCCCAGTGCTACCCAGGCTGATAGCCCAAGTGCAACCCAGGCTGATAATAGCCCAAGTGCTACCCAGGCTGATAATAGCCCAAGTGCTACCCAGGCTGATAATAGCCCAAGTGCTACCCAGGCTGATAATAGCCCAAGTGCTACCCAGGCTGATAATAGCCCAAGTGCTACTCAGGCTGATAGCCCAAGTGCAACCCAGGCTGATAATAGCCCAAGTGCTACCCAGGCTGATAATAGCCCAAGTGCTACCCAGGCTGATAATAGCCCAAGTGCTACCCAGGCTGATAATAGCCCAAGTGCTACCCAGGCTGATAATAGCCCAAGTGCTACCCAGGCTGATAATAGCCCAAGTGCTACCCAGGCTGATAATAGCCCAAGTGCTACCCAGGCTGATAATAGCCCAAGTGCTACCCAGGCTGATAGTGCCCCAGTGCTACCCAGGCTGATAGCCCAAGTGCTACCCAGGCTAATAATAGCCCAAGCACTACCCAGGCTGATAGTGCCCCAGTGCTACCCAGGCTGATAGCCCAAGTGCTACCCAGGTGTGAGCAGCACCCAGGTTTAAACAGCCTAAGTATGAGCAGCACCCAGGTGTAGCACCTGGAGATGAGCAGCACCCAGGTATAAACAGCCCAGGTATGAGCAGCACCCAGGTATAAACAGCCCAGGTATGAGCAGTACCCAGGTATGAGCGGCACCCAGGTGTAGCACCCGGGTATATGCAGCACCCGGGTATGTGCAGCACCCAGGTATGAGCAGCACCCAGGTGTAGCATCCTGGTATGAGCAGCACGCAGGTATGAGCAACACACACACACAAACATGTTCCCAAAATATAAATCTTATAAACACCAGTTTTATTATTATAATCAAAAAGAAGCGCTAAGCCACAAGGGCTATACAGCACCAGTTTTATATAAAATAAATATAACAGAAGGTAAAGTACACAGCAAGGAATACATGAAGAAATATTAACTTACTTCATGTTAGTTGTCTTGGTTTAACTAACTACTTGCCCAATATAAGTGTTATGAGGTTACTGCTGAAATCATCCAGGGGTTGAGAAGTTCAAATATCTTGCTGGGGTTGTGAAGTTGAAATATCTTGCTGGAGTGGAGAAGTTCAAATATCTTACTGGGGTTGTGAAGTTGAAATATCTTGCTGGAGTTGAGAAGTTCAAATATCTTGCTGGAGTTGAGAAGTTCAAATATCTTGCTGGAGTTGAGAAGTTCAAATATCTTACTGGGGTTGTGAAGCTGAAATATCTTGCTGGGGTTGAGAAGTTCAAATATCTTGCTGGGGTTGAGAAGTTCAAATATCTTGCTGGGGTTGTGAAGTTCAGATTTCTGGAAGATAAAATGCCCATTTCACTCGACTAATATGAAGCCTACCAAAAGGTAAATATTGGAAATACACAAGTAGCAGAGGATTGTAGATGAATGGTTCAGAGAACCGACACAGTTGATAAATTAGACACATGTGCAACTCTTGGGTTTACCTGGAGAGAGTTCCAGGGGTCAACGCCCCTGTGGCCTAGTCTGTGACCAGGCCTCCTGGTGGATCAGAGCCTGATCAACCAGGCTGTTACTGCTGGCTGCACGCAATCCAACGTACAAGCCACAGCCCGGCTGGTCAGGTACCAACTTTAGGGGGTATCTTTATTGAGGAAACGTTTCGCCACAGTGGCTTCATCAGTCCATACAAAGGAGAAACGTGAAGAACAGGAGGAGAATGAGGTAATCAGTCCCTCAACCTCGAGTCGATATGGTCAGACCATCAATCTTTAACAGAATGCGGCACATGTGCGGAAAAGTAGCTTATAAACCGTATGCAGGAGAGGTGCAGCAGTCGTGAGTGGTGTCACATTTGTACAATGTGGAAGTAGGTCGTTCCCAAGGGTTAGGTTGGGAAAAGGGGGGCAAAAGGTTGAAGTTCCTAAACCTGTACTCCCTGGAACGCAGGCGAGAGAGATGATTATATACACCTGGAAAATCCTAGAGGGACTAGTACCGAACTTGCACACGAAAATCAGTCACAACGAAAGCTAAAGACTCGGCAGACGATGCAACATCCCCCCAATGAAAAGCAGGGGTGTCACTAGCACGTTAAGAGACAATACAATAAGTGTCAGGGGCCCGAGACTGTTCAACTGCCTCCCAGCATACAAAAGAGGGATTACCAATAGACCCCTGGCTGTCTTCAAGCAGGCACTGGACAAGCACCTAAAGTCGGTACCCGACCAGCTGGGCTGTGGCTTGTACGTTGGATTGTGTGCAGCCAGCAGTAGCAGCCTGGTTGATCAGGCTCTGATCCACCATGAGGCTTGGTCACAGACTGGGCTGCAGGGGCGTTGACCCCCGGAACTCTCTCCAGGTAAACTCCAAGTAAGATTATACAGCGTGTGTGTGGGGGGGATGGAAGGTATTCAGTCAATTCAGGGAACTGGAGTACAGATACAATTCCCTAGATCAAGAGCCCCTTACCAGCATCAAGGGGTGACACTAGAGAAGGTGTGCTGCTCCATCACAAACTAACATGCTCAATAGCCCATCAATATTCCCAACACCCTCACCATCATGATTCCTAACACCCTCACCATCATGATTCCTAAAACCCTCACCATCATGATTCCTAACTCCCTCACCATCATGATTCCTAACACCCTCACCATCATGATTCCTAACACCTTCACCATCATGACTTAATTCACCATCACTACAATGGAGTGAATGATGATTCATGTATTTCTTCTTTTCTGGATCACTGCCTCAGTGGGAAACGGCCGATGTGTTAAAAAAAAAAAAAGGAATTTTAAATACAAAATACTGTATGAATTTTGAGGAAGGAGCAGCATATTTTTTAATGGATTTTAAATAGCCTAATTAAAACCAAATAAGGAAAAAAAAAAAGTTGCTTCAGACAACATATTTTGGACTTTAAAATGCACTGTGGAAATAAGCTAATTACTCTAGTTACTTTATCAAGTTTAAAGTTTATCTACTACATGAGGGTTTAATTAAGTTTGCATGTAACCTGTTAAGATAAGATAAGATAAGATTTCGTTCGGATTTTTAACCCCGGAGGGTTAGCCACCCAGGATAACCCAAGAAAGTCAGTGCGTCATCGAGGACTGTCTAACTTATTTCCATTGGGGTCCTTAATCTTGTTCCCCAGGATGCCACCCACACCAGTCGACTAACACCCAGGTACCTATTTGCTGCTAGGTGAACAGGACAATAGGTGTAAGGAAACGTGTCGGAATTTCCACCCGCTGGGAATCGAACCCGGGCCCTCCGTGTGTGAAGCGGGAGCTTTAGCCACCAGACCACCGGGCCACCTGACAACTATCAGGGAGATTAAAATTTAACATTTATATACAATCCTCTTATATATAAAGTCCTTTCTAAAGTTTCTCTTATATGCTTAAAGGAATATTTTTTTAATTTAATGTAAAAATTAATTATGTACCAAAAGAAACTTAGAAAACTTACCTAACCTTATTATAACAAGCACAATTTAATTTAGCAAGTTTACAATATTTTAATAAACAATGAAACTTTTTTTTTGTTAGGTTCAGAATGATTGTGAAATTATTGAATATACGGTGGACCCTCGACTAACAATGGCATCGTCTAACGTTAAATCCAACTAGCGATACATTTTAACGCAAAAATTTTGCCTCGACTAATGCTAAAAAACTCGACCAACACAATTTGTTCCGTCTGAGACGCGTCCACTTGTGGCCAGTGTTTACAAGCCAGCCAGCCACCGCGGTCCCATCCAAACATACAATCGGAACATTTCATATTATCACAGCGTTTTTAGTGATTGCACCTGCAAAATAAGTCACCATGGGCCCCAAGAAAGCTTCTAGTGCCACCCCTACAGCAAAAAGGGTGAGAATTACTATGGATATGAAGAAAGAGATCATTGCTAAGTATGAAAGTGGAGTGTGCATCTCCGAGCTGGCCAGGTTGTACACAAAACTCCAATCAACCATCGCTACTATTGTGGCCAAGAAAACGGCAATCAAGGAAGCTGTTCTTGCCAAAGGTGCAACTATGTTTTCGAAACTGAGATTGCAAGTGATAGAAGATGTTGAGAGACTGTTATTGGTGTGGATAAACGAGAAAGAGATAGCATCTCTCAAGCGATCATATGTGAAAAGGCTAGGAAGTTGCAGGAGGATTTAATTAGAAAAATGCCTGCAACTAGTGGTGATGTGAGTGAATTTAAGGCCAGCAAAGGTTGGTTTGAGAGATTTAAGAATCGTAGTGGCATACATAGTGTGATAAGGCATGGTGAGGCTGCCAGTTTGGACCAAAAAGCAGCTGAATTTTTTTTTTTTTTATTATCACACTGGCCGATTCCCACCAAGGCAGGGTGGCCCGAAAAAGAAAAACTTTCACCATCATTCACTCCATCACTGTCTTGCCAGAAGGGTGCTTTACACTACAGTTTTTAAACTGCAACATTAACACCCCTCCTTCAGAGTGCAGGCACTGTACTTCCCATCTCCAGGACTCAAGTCCGGCCTGCCGGTTTCCCTGAACCCCTTCATAAATGTTACTTTGCTCACACTCCAACAGCACGTCAAGTATTAAAAACCATTTGTCTCCATTCACTCCTATCAAACATGCTCACGCATGCCTGCTGGAAGTCCAAGCCCCTCGCACACAAAACCTCCTTTACCCCCTCCCTCCAACCTTTCCTAGGCCGACCCCTACCCCGCCTTCCTTCCACTACAGACTGATACACTCTTGAAGTCACTCTGTTTCGCTCCATTCTCTCTACATGTCCGAACCACCTCAACAACCCTTCCTCAGCCCTCTGGACAACAGTTTTGGTAATCCCGCACCTCCTCCTAACTTCCAAACTACGAATTCTCTGCATTATATTCACACCACACATTGCCCTCGGACATGACATCTGAAAAATATGTGCAGGAATTCAAGGAGTACATAGACAGTGAAGAATTGAAACCTGAACAAGTGTTTAATTGTGACACTGCCAATGTTGTGAAACACTTTAGGAATGTCATAAAGGAACAGGAGGTACAGGCCTCTATGGACAGATATGTTGTGCAACAGATGTCCAGTGACTCAAGCTGGTCCTAGTGGCATTAAAAGAAGAAGGGAAGTAACCCCGGAAAAGGACTTGACACCAAGTCCTAATGGAAGGGGATTCTCCTTCTAAACACTAACACCAAACACACTCCCCTCCTCCCATCCCATCAATCATCACCAGATCTTCAATAAAGGTAAGTGTCATGTAATTGTACATGTCTTCTTCAGTTTGTGTGTATTAAAATTAATATTTCATGTGGTAAATTTTTTTTTTCAATACTTTTGGGTGTCTTGCATGGATTAATTTGATTTCCATTATTTCTTATGGGGAAAATTAACTCGACTAACGATAATTTTGATTAACGATGAGCTCTCAGGAACGGATTAATATCGTTGGTCGAGGGTCCACTGTACAAATTTTTGCTTGCCTTATTCGGCAAGAAGAGCATTGTTATTTAAGCCAAACTCGGCACGACATACTTATATACACACATACACGCATCTTCATAGGGAAGTGTGTAGCCGTGCGTGTCTTAAGAGGAGAGTAAAATGTGGGAAGCAAGGGGTTAGTAACCCCTTCTGTATACATTACTGAATTTAAAAAGAGAACTTTCATTTTTCTTTTTGGGGCACCACCCTGCCTTGGTGGGATACGACTGATTTGTTGAAAGAATACACACGCACACCGGCTGTCTCCCACCGAGGCAAGATGACCCAAAAAGAAACACTTTCACTGTCATTCACAGTATCACCGTCTTCGCAGAGGTGCACAGATAAGACAGTTCAGATGTCACTCCAAACGGCAAATATCCCAAACCTCTTAAACTGTAGGCATTGTATTTCCACCTCCAGGACTCAAGTCCAGCTAACCTTTTTCCCTAAATACCTTCACAAAATATTAGCTTGCAACTCAGTGTACACATGAAATATAGCATCTGTTTCCACTACTCCGCTATAAGGAAGATGACAAATTTTGTACAACAATGTGAATATATAACCAGGTAGTCTGAGCTGTCTGACCCTTGTAGGTTTAGCACTTCTTTTTTATTATAACTGATTATAATAAGCAGGTATTAAACCTCAGCAAACACTTCATAAACAAGTACCATATCTGGACCACAAACACTTCATATTTGAGATACAGTGGACCCCCAGATTACAACATCATCGGATTACGTAAAATTCGGATTAAGTAAAGTTTTTGCGTCAAAATATTGGCTCGGTTAACGACAAAACTCGGTTAAAGTCATTTGTCCCAAATGTGTCTGTGGGGATTGAGC